TGGACAGGTGGAGAGGAACGGAGGGGGACACGGGAGGGACAGGGGTCACCGCAGAGCAGAGGGGGTGGAGCCAGCGAGGGAGGACCGGAAGTTGGAAGGTCAGCCTCTGCGGACCCCTCTCCCAGGACCCCATGCAGCTCCTAGCCCCACCCCCAAATCCTCCGGAATCCACAGGCCTGACACAGGCAGGGGAGGGGCAGAAGTGGGGTGTGGCTGAGGGTCACACTGGCGCTGGGGCTGAACCAGGTCTCCAGGGCACCGGCTGCCGCCCACTCGAAGTTGTGGCCTGTGTCTCGCCTGCTTCCTTCTCCCAGCTCTGCAGCCACCGCCTCTGGGAAACCCTCCTGGACCGGGGGTCCTCAGACAGTGTGCACTGTTGGTCAGGCACCCCGGGCACACGCACACCCCAACACTTACGGGCCAGCATCCCTCAGAGGCCCCACCTTGCCCTGGAACCTCCACACACCCTCGCTCGTTACCTGGACCCCAGGCCCCAGAGCAGGCTCCATGGGCAAGGGGGCCGCGGGGAGCCTGGGTCTGGGCGCCACCAGGGAAACTTTGGTGTGAACGGGAAACGTCTCCTCCTGCCCGCCCTACGGGGGCAGGAAGCGCAGAGTCACGGTGGGGGAGGGGGGCGGCTTCCTCCCTGCAGACCGCAGGGATGTGGGGGGGCCGGGCACCCCGGCCCAGCGAGAGAGGCTTCGAGGGACCTGCCAGGCGCCAGGGGTGCGGCCTGGGGCACCTCGGGGCCGCCCTGCCCTGCCCTGGGTGGGGCCTGTGGGCCAGAGACCAGTTTTACAGGCTGGGCTGAATGCAGACAGCAGCCTCCTTTCTCGGAGCCAGAGGTGGGCCACGGACAGGACAGGAGAGGATGAGGAGGCCTGCACATCACAGTCACCACCTAGCGGGCCTGAGGCTGCTCCAGGCCTGGACCTCTGACCCGCCTCTGGGTGGATGGCCCCCTCCCACAGGCCAGGCCCACAAACTCCCGAGGCACCCTGAAATGGCTATGCAGCCCAGGCTGGCCTCGAACCCACAGCAATCCTCCTGACTCAGCTTCCCAGAGATATCCCTGCAATAACAGCAGTGCACCACTCCTCCCGGCCAAGCCCAGGATCACTCCTGGCTGCGAACCAGCCAGCCCATGCTGACCACAGGTCCCCTGAGACCTGTCTGCCTTCAAAAATGTCCCCTCTTTGGAAAAAGGAACGCTTCTCCACTGTTGGTGGGAGCGCAGACTGGTGCAACCACTGTGCAAATCAGGGTGGAGATTCCTCAAAGAACTAAAACTAGAGGTTCCATTTGACCCAGCTATTCCCCTTCTTGGTACCTTCCCAAAAGAATTAAAAGCATTGGGCTGGGGATTTAGCTCAGTGGTTTTGCCACCTGCTGCACAAGCGCAAGAACCCAAGTTTGATCCGTGGTACCAAAAAAAGCCCAAAAAACCCAAAAAGAATTAAAAGCATCACACCACAGGGATATATGTGCACCCATGTTTATAGCGGCACAGTTTGTAATAGCTAAAGCTTAGAAACAGCCCAAATGCCCATCAACTGACAAACGGATAAAGATGTGGGTTTTTTTTTAATACAATGGAGTACTACTCTGCCATAAAGAAGGATGAGCATTAGGCATTTATAGCTAAATGGATGGACCTTGAGACTATACTCTTTTGTTTGTTTGCTTTTTTGGTACTAGGGATCGAACTCGGGTCCTTGTGCTTGCGCAGCAGGCGGCGAAACCACTGAGCTAAATCCCTCGCCCAAGACTATACTCTTAAGTGAAATAAATCAGACACACATGTTTAAATTCTCTGATGTGAGAAACCAAAAGTGGAAATAAGAACTAAAATGCATAATAGATATTGGGAAATGGGAAGAAAATGTTCAAATGAGAAGGGGAGTAAGGCGGAGGGAGAAAGGAAGGAATGGACAAGAAAAACAGTGAAAATAGAAGGAAAAAATGGAAACAAAGCTTCTGTACATAGGGAGGGGAGGGGCTTGAGGGAAAAAGGCAGGATGTACCATGCACAGGTGCAAATTCCCTACGATGAGTGTTATCCTTATGTATGCCTAAAATGTACCAATAAATGTTTTGCTATCTAAAAAAAGTCCCCTCTTCTACCCCAAACCACCCCCAGTGAAGCTGGGCATCTTTCACCCAAAATGAGGGGCCCTTTTGTGCACAGGAGTTCTGCTGCGTCTGAAAAGCCCACAAGGGACCAAGCCCTCGCCTCCTGCCTGGGTCAGAGGCTCACGGCTGAGCCAGCCATGCGCCCCCACTGCCGCGACTCCTGCCCTTCACAGCCATCACCCGGCTGGGCCTCCCCAGCCTGGGCTCCCTCATCCACTCAGAAAGCTCACATGGGACCGAGCCTGTGGCCGCCCAGGCCTGTGGCTTCCAGCGGGCAAGGCCTGGGCTTTGTGCAGCGGCCTCCTGGGGTCTGCAGGGGGTGTGGGGCCTCTGAAGTGGCTCCCAGGCCCTGCTGGGGTGAGGAAGGCCGGTGTCCCTGGGGATGAGCACCGGTGGCCAGTCCTACAGGGACTCGACCTGTGCTGCCGGCCCTGAAGACTCGGAGTGCTCGAGCTGAGGGGCTCCCAGGGCTCGGTGGACAGGGCTGCCCCTCTGCTGGAACTCAGGTAACCCAGAGACCCTTGCCCATGGCTGGAGCAGGGGAAGAGGCGCTGTCTGCCACTGGGATGGGGACCACAGAGCACCGCTCCTCCAGACCCTGCTTGACCTGCTCCAACCCAGCACACAGGCCCTCCAGGAGACATCAGTCACCACCCTGGCACGACTCTTTTCCTTTTTTGTTTTTTGAGACAGGGTCTCTCTACCTAGCTCAGGCTGGCCTTGAACTCACCATAGCCCAGGCTGCCCTCAAACTTGTGGAGATCCTCCTGCCTCAGCCTTCTGAGTGCTGAGATTACAGGTGTGCCCCACCATGCCCGGCTTTGACAAGCTTCATCTTTAGATCAAACCCAGCCTTCCCCACATCTGAGGCACTGCATGGGTAGGTGCCCCTCACCTCTAGCCTCAGCACTCCAAACCTAAGTGCCCCAGGTTATCTATCACTCACTGTTCCCACCCTTATGGGCCCAAGTGTGCTTTGCTTTCTGAGCTTCGCCCTGGCAGGGTACTTGGGGGGCCAGCACCTTCCCAAGCCCACCCTGTCTGGTGCCCCAGAAGGTGGGGTTGCTAAAGAGGGTGAAGGCAGGGCCAAGGCTGGCTCATTGGCAAGCAAGGTCAAGCCTGTTTGTAGCCCCTGGGAGGAGCTCAGAACAGGTACGGAGAGTCAACCAATCACAGCTCAACAGTCAGAGCACCCCATCTCCGGGGACCGAAGGGCGGAAATGGGACAGGCGTGGTGGGTCTGCTGAGGACAGCCTCTCGGGCCTAGCATCGGGCGCAGGAGGGCAGTGTCAGGCCAAGGTGGCTCCGGCTACCTCACAAGGACTGCGGGCCAGGCTGGAGGACCTCGGGCCATGGGATGGAGCAGGGAGACTGGAAGTTAGACAGAGGGGGCAACTCAGGGACAACTGAGGACAGTAGTCAGGTAAGTGCCGGGGTGGCTGGGCCAGTCTCTGGCCCCTTGTGGAGAAGAGATGTTGAAAGGGGTGGACCTTCAGCTCCCTGTGATACCCATCTGGGTATCCCCTTAACCATCCCCTTTTCCTATCACTATGGAAACTGGGAATCTCCTTCCAGGGTCCCCATAGTAACTGACCCTGTTTCCATGGGGATGCCACACCTCCATCAGCTCCCCAGTTGCCATAACAACCCCAGAGCTTCCCAGCTCCTCCCTCGGCCCCCAGCTCAGTGCTAATGGCCCCAACACCTCAGTTCCTCTCTCTTGGCAATAGAGGCCGGCTGGAGAAACCCCAGTTGCCCCTTTGAGCAACCTCCCTTTATTTCAAGATGGTAGAGTGAGGTTCAGGAAGGAACAGGGCCCAGCTCAGATCCTGGAGAGGGCAGAGGGCCTGGCAGAGCTTGTGGGTCAGGGGTAAGGGACAGGCCAGAGGGATGAGCAGGATAAGGTCAGCTCCAGTCCCGGCCTGATCTTCTCAGTGGCACGGCTGGGGGACTCCCATGGGCCCGCACCTGAAACCTGCCGCCCCCCCCCGCCGCATTTTGCTGGGAAATACCAGGGCTTCAGCCTGAAATGGGGCTGCTCACTTGCATGCTGATTTGCATGGGCGTTTGTAGGCTGCCCAAGTGCCCTCCTGCCAGGTGCTGTTCCAGCCCCCTTGCCCCTCCCACCACCCTTCTAGCTCTCCCTGAGGAAGCCCTGTTGGTTTCAGAGCTCTCTGTCTTTTTTCTTTTTTGGAGGGCTGGGGATAGGACCCAGGGCCTTGCACATGCTAGGCAAGTGCTGCACCCCAGTCCCCAGAGTCCTTTCGATGGCCCCCACCCATCCACAGGGCCTGCTCCCATTTCCCACTGCCATGTGCTTGCTCTTGCTGTTCCTGTCCCCTCACCTCCTCCGGGATGGCTTCCTGGATTGCTCACTGCTGCAGGGCCTAGCTCCTGTCCAGTGATTCAGCGAATACCTGAGGGTCAAGGGGCGGGGGAGCAAGCTCGGGGAGGACTAAAGTAGCCCTAGCACAGCTCCCGCAGAGGGACAGCCAGTGGGGTCCCACCCGAGGCTTCCACCCCCAGACTAAGCCTCCTCTGGCTAAGGAACTGTTCTCATGATCTCGTTTGGACCTTGCCTTGGTTTCCCCACCAGGGCTCTTGGTGGACCTTCACTCCCAGTCTCCTCCCTCAGGGCAGCAGGGCAGACCAGGGGTCTGTAAGGAAGAGGAAGGGCAGGAAGGGGGCGGCCCCCCACCTCACCCAGACTCAAACTGGGGAAACAGGTTTGCCAGCTGAGGTCAGCTCTCAGAGCGCAGGGAGGGGCGCAGGTGTGGCTGGCTGGGTGGCGCTGAGCCCCTGGGGGCGAGGGTCTCTCAATACCATCAGTTCGCCTGCCGTTCCTTCCCCAGGCCGGCACCAAGGGGCGGGACAGCGCCTGGGAGCCCGAAGGAAGGCAGCGGGAGGCTGCCAGGCTTCCTCTCCCGCTGGTGGTGGCCACGGCGCCCCTCCCGGCTCCGGCTCCGGGTTGCTCTCACATCCTGGATTTGTTTGCCCCGCCCCAGGCTGCCCCCTGCCTGCCTGCCCTGCCTTCCAAGGTTACCAGCAGACAGCCTGTGCCCCAGAACGGCCCTGGGAGGTGAGCGGCTGGGGAGCTCTGGGTGGGGGGCAGATAAGACGGACAAGGAAGCCAGCAGTCCAGCCTCAGGAGCACCATCATTAACAGCTCTTACACGCATCACCCGCTCGGGCCCTCTTCACCTGGCCACAGATGGGGAAACTGAGGACCAGGAAGCTGCCCCAGGCCACAGGGCAATCGAGGGAGGAGGCCAGCGATAGATTTCCCTCCAGACCCTTTGCTCCCTCACCAGGGCCAGCCCTTGGAGAGGAGACAGCCCAGGGCCAGGGGACCCAATGGGGCCAGGGGAGCCGGAGCAGCCACAGTGGCCGCTCTTCTCTTAAGTCCAGGCGAACCCTGAGGTCAGGGCCATGCCGGTTTTGCCCGCCGGGAAGTAGAGGCGCACAGCCCTCGGTGTGGGTCCCACCAGAAGGGGTCTTCCGAAGGCACTGCCCTCTGCTGCGGGCCTGGGCCTCTCACAACCAGAGCCCCCACCCAACCGGCGGCCCCGGGATCACAGGTCTGGCACGAACTTCCTCCGGTGACACGACGCTGGGGAGCACAATGATCCCTTGTGCCCGGGGCACACCTGAGCCAGGAGCTCATGCCAGGCAGGTGCAGGGAGGGAGGGGTCACCGCCTGGATCCCTTCCCGCAGCCAGCAGAGGAAAGCGCGAGAAGGCGTGTGACGGGGGGGGGCACCAGGTCGGATCACTGCCCTCACCCTCCGAGGCCACCCTCGGTAGCCCCCGAAAGAGGGGTGGCAGCTCCTCAGGAAAGGCCTCTTGGCTTCCGCCTGGCCCCCCACCCCGCCCCACTCCACCCCACCCCAGAACACGGCGGGTGGGAGGAGCCAGTCACCAACTTCTGGGGGCGTGTGTGGGACTCGAGTCCGCCCCGCAGCAGTAGCGCACCTCCCTGCCCCGCGGGGTGGGGGGACCCCGGCCACCTCGGCCCCTCAGCCACGACCACCCCACCCGCTGCGCCCACATGCAGACCGCGTCCCCGGCCTCAGTGTCCCCGGCTGTACAGGGTCAGGGTCCGGCCGGCACAACTCCAGGCGGGCGGGACCCGTGCGAAGGGTGGGCACGCACGTGTGCGCAGGGCCGGGCACACCAGAAGGCGGGGCGCAGGTGCGGCGGGCGCGCGCGGGGACGCGGGGACACGGCGACGCGGGCTCACCTGCGCGTAGTACAGCAGCCACAGCTCGTAGAGCCGCTCCGAGGCGGCCATGGCCCGACCCGGCTCCGGCCCGGCCGACCGCCACCTGTCGCGGCCTCCTCCTCCGCGCCGGCCTCCAGCTGCCCCCGGCCAGGCCCAGGGGCGGAGCGCGCCGGGGAAGTCCGAGCCCGGTCCCCTGCCTGCCGCCGAGGCCGGTGCTCCGCCTCCTCCTGCCTCGGCCTCCCGCCCCGCCTCCCGGCCCGGCCCGCCGAGAGCGCGCGGGGAGGAGGAGCCGGAGTCACCGGAGCGGATAGAGCGGACCTGAGGGGCAGGCGCCGCCCCGCGGCCCGGGAGACTCCGCCTCTCGGCCTCAGAGCTCCCACGGCTGACACTCACCCCCC